TCGGGAGTGCTTCCGACGGCCCGGTGGTATGACCTCCCCTCCCCCTCCCCTCCCCCTCCCCGACGGGCGCCTCGTGGTGCCGCGTCGTCGTCACGGCGCCGTCCCTGGACTACTGGCGTCGGCGTCCGGGAGTGGGCCTGGAGGCAACACCCCGTCTCCGGCTCGTTGCCCAGACCCCCACCTCACCTCATCACCATCACCCCGCCCGCGTATATACCGCTCGCATCGTGAGGTGTGAGGTGTGTTCGCCTGGGATCCCCAAGGTGATGTAATGGCTATCTCATCTGGACAGGAACAAGACCGTCCGCATGGTGACTCTTATCGTTGGCGTTGCTTCGAGCAAACAGCGCTGCACGACCACCGGAGAGGCAGGGCGGAGGGGAGGGTCGCCGCCGTGGAGGGCGCAGGGTGCGCGAGAGGCACACCTCGCCGCCCCGCCGCCGGCCGTCCCGTCCGGCCGGGGCCGCCGCATCTTTTGGCCAGAGATAATTGATTATTGATTGATTATGGGACCTCTCTCGCGCGCGCTCTCCCGCCGGCTCTGCGCTCCCCGCGGACCCCGGCCTCTTGAGGCTTAATTCGATTCCCCCCCTCCCTCCCCCGCCGAGGGGGGCGCAGAGCCGAGCAGAGCGCTCAGAGTGCGCGGCTCTCGGCGCTGGCGGAACACGGACTTTGGCCCGGCTGGGCTCTGTTCCATCATTCAGGACGCGGACTTCCGCATGGGAGGGGTCACCGGGAAGACACGGGGAGGACAGAGAGGGAGGGCCAAGTCAACCCCGGCCCGGAGCCAGCCCGGCAAGAGCACGGGGACTTGTTCAAAAGGCCGGAAACGAGAACAGCGGGGGCTGGGAGGAGACCATGGGGGGGGGGGGGGCGAGGGGGTGTCAGTGCCCCCGCCAGCTGCTGACGCCCTCCTCCCTCCCGTTAAGCCCTCTGCTGCTGCTCCTCCTCCCCCCGCAGCATCACACAGGACCACCCCCGCCGCCAGTCATTGATTTTCAAGGGGCAACGTGACTGCGCGGGGGTGGGGTGATCTAGGACGCGCGGAAAGGGAGAGGGGGGGAAGGAGAGGGGCTGGAGAGGGGCTGGAGAGGGGCAGACGGGAGCAGTTACCGGCAGTTACACAAATCGTGCAAGTCGCGCAACAAAACCTGGCTAATCAAAGAGTGTGGGCAGAGAGTGAGGAGACACGCGCCTTGCACGCGCGCACGGGGGCGGCAGGTCGGCGAGTGCATTCCCCTGCACCACGGCCGAGCGGTAACGAGGCAGAATGGAAGGTGAATCTCCCGGGCAGCTCAATGAATCAGCCCAAGCGCTGCTGCCGGTGCACTCGGACGTGGGCTGGGCGCCGTCGGCAAGGCCCGACCCTCGCCGACGAGCCCCCGCCCCGCACTTGTTTGAGGAGCCCGATGGTGGCGACAGATAGGGCTTCCAGGGCGCGCCGTGGCGCAGCCAGCGCACCAAAAGGCAAGACGGGCCAAGACAATCGTCTGCAAACTATATTTATCTCGTTGTTGCTTTTTTTTTTTGCGTCGCAGATGTCGGAGTGCGAAAACGATTGCAGACGGCGGCAGCTGTAGCAGCTGCGGGGGTCAGCGAGGGGAGGTCAAGAAAATAGGAAGCCGGCGCTTGACCCTTCAGAACGCGACGCGCCGCTCGAGACGACGTATGACGCAGGGGCTGGCTGGGTATGTCCCATGTCCCCGGCCGCGCCCCAGATCCCGCCCGAACCGAACCTGCTCGCCCCGGTAGGGCCGGCTGCTATGGCTGCGGCGCATTGCATTTTCCAAACAACGCAATCCCTTGACCGGGCCGGCGGCGCCGGGGGCGCCGGGCCTTATCTACCGCCAGCCTCACACAGCCTCGAGATATTTTGGGAGGCGCACGCCGGGGAGAAAAAACATATCAGTGTCAACGGGGGAGGAGCAGGGAAACCCCGACGGTTACTTTCACTTCGTGTTATCTCGCGCTACCCCCGCCTAACGACCCGCTCCCCCATCCTCCGCGATGTACACTGGCGAGGGGGTTTTCTCTCGAGATTTCCGTGCACACAGTATTTCGTAATACGTGTATTTC